TTAATAGTATCTATGGCTATGATCATCCAGTACCTGGAAGATAAGGGTGCCGAGATATCGCTTCTGCATCTTCCTTGTGTTGGCGCTCATATGACTTTGCGACTCGTTTAGCACCAAATAGGAATGGGAGATCAGAACCGTAACCTATTAGAATGATCTTTGCCCAGGCCAGCTTGTCTTACCTTGATCACAATCACAACGATCACACACAACAGAATTATTGCAGAAACGGTGACCTCATTCCCGCTCATGTCCGCAGCGTAAATTGCTGGCTCGTCTCGAACATAGGCCAGGCAAGGGTATTTCTGTGGTGGATTAACGGTGGCCAGCTTCTAGTTCACATACCTTGACCAAAATCTGCATAGCCGGTGCATCAAAACCGTCCTGCAGTGGAATATGGCCGATTGCCCAGCAGAGGAGGGCCTCCATCGAAATGTATAAACCAGCGATGTATATCATCCAACCCGTTTTGGAGAACCTAAAAACAGGTCTGGGTCATGCTCAACAGCAAACTTGCCCACCTCCATTTACTGTTAACGGGCAGGAGTTTTTGGTGTTTGAAAAAGAGCGTTTGGATGATGGCGCACATCGTGAGAACGGTCATGAAACCGGCCATCGTCTGAATAGGCATCTGCCGCATTACTGAAACTCCCTACGAAAGCGACCAAGCCATCGAGCCCAAATACTGTACCCCAGGGCCCTAGGACTCGACCACCAAAAGCTGGGCACCAGAATTCGGGGAGCGTCGTAAAGAGCATAAACTCGAAAGCTATAGAGAACATCTGAATCTGGTACTCGTACAGTCTGACCATGGGCCCTAGACCTGCGACGTCACCAAATGGACCCGAATTTCCTTCATGATAGGGGGCGACTTTTTCATAATTAGATACAGACCGAGTGTGGCCATCGGGACGCTAATGATAGGTAATAGGTGACCATATGTAACATATATGATAGGATACGTATATTGGGTGCAATGACAAGTGGTACCCTTCGAGTCCATTTTAGGAAGTCGAGAACACGGATTCTTTTGTCGGCTGGGTCTTGGCGGAGAGAAGTAGGGGGTTTTGCCCGCGCTATACCCCACGACCGAGTTTTTTTCAGTAGCAGGTGGCCAGGCTTTTCGATTAATAGCTAGCAGGCAATCGGAAAGGGCAGTGTTTCTCGTGGTACTCACCGGAAACTTCGAAGTGAACGTACATACAGGGTGACCCAAAATAAGTCTATACAAACATAATGCCATATAAAAATATTTGTAGAAGGCTTCAAAACTTTTCGTAGCAACAACAGTAAAGATAAACAATAGTCTCAATATGGCCTATAACGATTTTTACCCTGTGGGCCCTAATCTCTGAAATACGGCCCCAGAAACCGACACCCAAATGTCCCGCAACGCTTTGACACCTCCGTTTTGGGTCATGAAATTAGTTATATTTTTAGCGGAGCGAACTGCTGTCCTTAATCATGAAAGGAATTGCTAAATATTCTCCGAAGGCAACCATCCCGAGTGCCAAAATACCAAAATACGGTCCCTGGAATTTAATTATGCATCCAGTTACCCAGCGGATCGAATTTCCCGAATCTCCGTCGCAAACTCGCTAATAACTCTCGGTGATGGCTGTGCTGCAGCATGTCTGGATTCTTTGGCTTGGTCCGCATTTGTTCGTTTGTTTGGTCTATTACAGGCAGAGTCGGTGACTTTTTAAAAAACAAAAGTATCGAATTCTAGCCTCGGGTTCTGTTTTCACCGGTGCGACTGCGAATCACAAAAGGCTCATTATTTCGAAACCCTTGGTACATCATTATTTCGTTGTTTCTATGAAAAATTTTGAAGCCTGCTATAATTTTTTATATGGCATTATGTTTGTATACACTTATTTTGGATCACCCTGTATATGTTGTGGATACTTTATTTTCAAGAACCAATGCGATACACGTTTTAATCCGACGCTGAACCAACGCTGTGTATTTGGACGCTGATCACCTTTGCCTTGCCCCTCATCTCGAGGTACTTTCTAAAAAAATTATTATAGAAGGTATGTGAATCTCACCCGATCGTCATTTTATATACCGCCACCCGGTACGGCTTATTGATCAGGATAACAATTGTCGAATGGCATAGGCCGTGAGTGGCAAATACGCCGATTAAAATATTGTTGATCCCTGGAACAGCAATTTTTCAAACATCAAAAAACAGAAATACACTGATAATAGTCAATGTCGGTAAATACGATAATCGCATAATATCCCCACGGGGTCGCGAATGCTACGAGTGGTATCATGAGCTGAAAAATATAATGGAGCCGATTTGCAAAGCCTGCAGGACGCCCCGAAATCGCGGCGGTCTAAGGGCTAGGCGACGCGGCGCTCCTATCAACTCAAAAATGTATGGGCCCAAAACTTTGGAGGCTTATATCTTGAAAGATACGGCCGATCTTAAAAAACGCGAATTACAGTCTTGTAGAAGGGAACATGGCGATTATAATGATACCAAGCACTAACAAAACTGAATTTAGAAAGTATGCTAACGAAGGCGGTTTTGGTGGGGGACTTTGTGAAAAGTGGTATTTCGGAGGGCTAACCTGCTGTCTTTGGTATCATTCGAACCGTAAAATTTTTCTCTGCAATAATTAATAATGGCTTTTCAATATTGAGTCGGTTTGGAAATGTTATAAGAGTTTAAACCTTTTGACGCGCGCTACGCCCGGCTCCAATTGACGCGTTTGCCCCTCCCGGCAAATTGCCGTTTTTGGCCTGTTTGATCGGCCGTGGTAAGCTTTGTTTGGGTCATGGTGAAAAAGACTGGTCTAGTTGTCTATTGCCTACTCTTATAGCGTGCCCCTATGACCGTAACCCTGCTGCCACGCTAAGGTGAGCGGGTTCTGAGAATTTCTCCCACTTTTATCGTCCGATACATTCTATATTCAACTACACCCGTCACCTTGCCGTAGTATCGAATAAACCTCTAGCGTTTATTTGATGCGGAACTCTGCACAGCACAGGACACAACAATTTGCCTACCTGCAGGGTAAGTATTGCAACGTAGCGCTTTTGCTTTTTCCTGGTGCTTACACTCATATGGCTTTGTTCAGCGTTGAGGACGAGGAACGAATGTAGGATCAGGAACATTATCTGAATCTTGTCAGAGATAGGCAGACTGTCGTAAAACCCCACGGCAAACCCTCTAAAGGGATAACGCCTACCAAGGAAAAGACGACGGCGATCACCGTCAAAAGGACTATGCAGGAAAGTGCGATTTTGTTCTCGGTCCTATCGGCGGCATAGATGGAGCTCTCGCCACGAACGGTTGCCAAACAGGGGTATTTCTTGACAGGGGCACGTCGGAGGTCTTACTATAATTTACTTACTATGATGAGAGCTTGCATGGCCGGGCTGTCAAAACCAGCCACGACGGGCAGACGTCCAATTGCCCCACAAACGAATATTGCGGTTGCTATATAAACGAGCGCCATGAAGGCGATCCAACTGCGTTTCGTCAGTCTAGAATGATATGGCAAGTAGTGAGGCGGGAATTTTCAAAAGTACAGGACCGACCTTCGAAAAGGGCTTGCACGACTCAACCCACTTTAATCGACTGCCACTATCCAAAATACGTTGGTGCTTGAAAAATAGCGTCTGAACGATGCCGCTCATCGTAAGGGTCGTCATAAAACCGGCCAATGTCTGCATAAAATACGAAGGTAAGCGAATGATAACTTACAAACGCGGCCAACCCATCCCATCCCAAAACCGTGCCCCAGGGCCCTAAAACACGACCCCCAAGCACCAGAATTCGGGTAGGGTAGTAAAGAGAATAAACTCAAACATGATCGAGAATACCTCGAATTTTATTGGCATCTGCCGTTAGGTATAGTTTTTCCAACCTGCGACGTCAAAAAATGAACACGAATATCTTTCATAATCGCTGGGGATTTGTTGATGATCACATAGACAGATAGAAGAGCCATTGGCACACTAACAACAGGTACAAAATGGCCGTACGTTACGTAAATATGTGGATAGGTATAAGGGACACATTCCGGTGACTCCATCCAACCTTGAGAATGCAAAAACTTTTTCAAGGGGGGAAGTAGAGAAGCTTCTTGGCGGCAGGTGATAAAGAAATTGCCCCTTGCGCGTACGTAGGCTTTTTGCTTCTGGTCGCCTGAGGTTCCTTACCTGGAAGGAATTCAACACCTACAGTACACATTTGCTGCCTAACATGCACAAGGTGTCCCAAAAAAAGAACGATTCATCTGGCATTTCGCCGGGTTACAACCAATCGGCCACCTACATATGGTCACCTATTACCTATCTCTAGCGTCCCGATGGCCACACACGGTTTTTATCTAATTATGAAAAATTCGCCCCTATCATGAAGGAAATTCGGGTCCATTTGGTGACGTCGCAGGTCTACAGGGCGTCCCAAAAATGGCCCTTCTGACATTTCGCCGTGTTACATCGAATCGGTCCCAAATCTGGACCAGAGGTGTATCAGATCCTAAATAACAACAATCCTGACTTATGGCACTGTATTCCTAAGCATCGTCCCTAGGGGGGAACAGTGCTTTAGCCCGAATCTTTGCTGTCGTCTAGTAGCCAAATTTTCGAAAACGCACCCAGAGTACAGCCAAAATACAGCCAAAACCGGACATGGTGCGTGAAATCAGATTCCGGTTGCGGCCAGATACCTTTACGGCACACTCCTTTGTTTGTCTGGTCCAAAAATTGGTGCGGATAATTGCGGAAACTCCATTTTTCGTTATTTAGTTTAAGGTGCCGTGCCCGATTCTTGGCCTCTTTATATTGGAAAGTTGAAACATGACAGCTTACAAAAGAAGTAATTATCAAGAACTTAAAAATTGAAACAGAACAAAGAATCATATTGTATAATTAAGGGTTGGAACCGGCGACCAGAAAACAGCAAAATTTGTGAATATGCTTCGCGGATAGCGGACTGCTATGCTAATACAAATTGAAACACAAAGCGGGAGGTTTTCAGGCATGATTAATACATCGGCGAAGCATCCTACCTTATATAATTTTGGCGCGTATGTGTGCGTGTGTGTGTGTGGATGTCACTTTCGAGGCCCGATTTGAGGGCCTTCCCGTGTATAAAATGCCCTAATTCTCCGTCACCCGGGGGAATCGACCCTTCTGTTTCCGATGGCGTTCTCAGAATCTCGATAAAATACAAGTTTACAAAGTTAAAGCCGGGGTCCGAAGGACTCGAGCTATCGGGAAGTCAAATTTTTCATGAAAAGGCCGCATTCCAGCGCCCAAGGCCCGCGAAGCGGGTTTTGGGCGCTGGTTGTAGGTATAAAAACTTTCACACAACCGCTTAATTTTGTCCAAATAATCAACGAGATGCGCCAGCGCTTTTCAGAGTTCCGGACATGGGAGTCGGCTCTTCAGCGCCGCTTTGAAAGATTTTGCTCGGATGCCGTGGCCACCACTGCAACTTCAGGATCTCCCGAGTCCGCTGGCGATATGTCTGAAAATACGGATAGTAAAAAGGAATCGAGGGCAATTATAATTCCTCAATTGTCATGTAAAGCGCCAGGCACCTTAAAAAGTAGTAGAGCTAAAATCGCGTCACATCCGGAGTAGCCTCCTAAGAAGAGTGGAGCGCATATTCCCCAGTTGTGGGGGACGATTCCTAATAAAATCGGGGGTATAAATTATAGAGAATCGGAAACTACCCGTTGTCCCTCCAATTAGAACCACAAAAACGGGCACGAATTCGAAAATAAACGGGGAGATCGCCTATAATTGCTGTACTTTAAAAAAATACATTCATTTTGGCCCTTGAAAACAGTTCCGAAAGCTGAAATAACCCTTCAAGGATCGCCGCTCAATTGCTATGATTATAAGGTTAAAATAGGGACTACCTGGGCTAAAAGGAGAAACAACAATTGTAGCTGAAATCGTTGTACCGTGCCGCTCGTGGTGTTGCGCTTCACGTAGTAATATCTGAGGCGCGAATTTATCAAATTTTTGCGTGGTTATTCATTTTTATTTTTTTATTATCCATGCTTACAACTTGTGATACCATACTTAAATCGAAAAATTACAGCTTACAATTTGATCCCGGTGATGCATGTCGTTCCGTAGAGTCCGGAAAATACGCACAATGCGATCACAGTCCCAGACACCATAATCCAATCATAATGTTCAACACCGTAGTTGTCAGCGTGCTAAAAAAATGGCTTTTGATATTTACTTAAGATAAACAGGTCCAAATGCGATAAAATTCACTTACCGAAAACACCGGTCCGTAATAATAAATATCGGGCGTGAGGGTGATATTCAAAAATTCCTTGGTTTCAGGGTAGGAAAGCAGTCTTCGTATGTCGCTTGGCTTCAATAATTTTGTTTTGGATTAATAAGTATTTTTCGACTGACCTGCATTGAAATTAGACAAGTTGATTCTATTGCCCAGGATATGGAAAAATGCCAGACGGTTAGGGCAATGATACCCCTCTTCTTTTCGATCATGTCTCGATATTTTCTGTATTTTTTATAAACTTTTTTTGGAACTAATACCCAGTGATTTTGACATATCGATAAAAGCAGTGGACCATCAACAACGATAGCGATTGACCAAAGCCATTCACAAAAAGCGCGAGACCAATTTTGGAGGCGGTCACCATATAGGTAAATGTTTTCGAAATCAGGATGAACCCGCGCTCGTCCATGATGTAGGCCTTTAAGAATATAAATAAAATTTTTATCAGATTAACGTAGTTTAGGGTTTGTGACGTAATTGGCACTCATACAACTTTAGCCTATTCTTTCTATTTGATATATGTATCGGAATTATCCGAACTTCGATGTTCCTTTTCAAAAACGGATAAACCTACCGGATTGACCACTTTTGTAACGATCGAATAATAGATATTGAAAACGGATATAATCGTGAGTATTGGCCGACTCTCCCGGGCTTCCCGTCGGGTTACGGTATAGATGACAAAGAGTAGAAACAGATTCGACCCGACGCCAATAGCGCACACCCAAGTGCTGGCATAGTCTTGGAATTGACTGGTGCATATCATCCTGCTTTAAACTAAAAAAGTATGATACTAAGCGTCTGGTCAAACTATAGTTTCATCACCTCCAATGAGTATTTCTTGGAAAAAATGTGCTGGGAGCGCTGCGGTTTAAAACAAAACAATCTCAGGACACTTTGGCAGTCCGTCTGGAGCGCAATACCTTTGAGCGCGTACTTTTGTCATTGAAACATAGAAAATTCTCAGAAATTGGAATTTATGAAATAACTGCTTTGGATGCATGGGACGTTTCCTAGGCTTGGACTTACGCTTGGGCGGATGCTTACGTTTCTAAGTTAGGCTAAGCCAAGGCCAAGCCTAAGATGCTTTGGTAACGACGATGCGTGAGCAGGCTCTTTAATGAGTTTTGCAACAAGCAGATACGCGTTTTCAGGAGGCAAAGTAAAATGCGGTGTCAGCCATCTGACTGGCGATGTACAACATTATTTTCGAACCAGAGAACAAACAACGAATGGGTCGAACTTGTGATTCAGCGAGTTTTATCGTTTTCAAAAAAAAACGGTAGCTGGAATTTGGACAAATTATGTATTCGATAGTGGGGATCACGCGCATCTTATTATCGTTAGAAATTTTCAGCAGATTCAGACTCAAAGATCGAGTTTTGTAAAGTGACCAGGAGGCCACCCGCCCGGGATCATTGGGATGCCCTTTCTTTGCCACCCCTCCCCCCAGCCTTCCCCAGAAAGAAGAGGCCTGTCAGGCCACCCGTTCCCATCGTCCCTGTGGTGTAGTGGATTGGCGCCCGGTCTACTAAACGTATGGTCAGGAGTTCGGGTCCTGGCAGAATCCAACTTTTTGCTTTTTGGTAGTTTAGCAACAAAACGTATTTCTAGGCTCTCGATGTGCGAGGTTTAGGCCTGACCGTCGCTCTAGCGCCGCAGGCCGAAGAAAAGGAGCTTGAACCAGACTCTTGCGCCGCAGGCCAACGATGGGTCCTTGGCCCAGGCTCTCGCGCCGCAGGCCAAGCTTGGGGGGAAAACCAGTAACTAGCGCCTCAGACCCAATTATCCTAGCGCAACGCTGTCTCTGACGCCGCAGTCCAAAGAATGGATCCTTGACTCAGGTACCTGCGCCGCAGACCCAAAAAAAAGAAGGTATTCAAATTCATGGTTTCTGGACGGGGTCCAGTGGAAAAGGGCCGCGAAGCGGTCTTTTTCCACTGGTTGAGAATAAATCTGGTCTACTGACAATTTGTGAAAGGAAACTCAAGCCGCTGTGGCGGATAATTGGAAGATAAAACCCAAGGAAAGGATATCTTGAGACATCCTGGAGCACATCTTTAGGAATTTTTTCAGGAGATGGAGTCCATATCAACAAACATTATCGCGTCGACACCTAACGCAATTTTGCCGAAAAATGTCCTTTCGGCCTTTATTAAAAAAGTTATGGCGAGATTGTCGCGCTTTTCTGAGGTCCCGACGCAGGCTTGGAGTCTTCGGTAGCAGTTTGGAAGATTTTGCTGCGATGACGGGGGCAGAGCTTGAACCTGCAGATTTCGAGCATTCGCCGGCGATAGGCCTAGAAAGGATGAGGTATTTAGCAATGAAATGGCCCGACCGAGTGCGGTAGTGGCCTGTAGGCTCCTGCGAAAAGACGCAAAAATCGCTTTCAAAACGAGGAATCTAACTCAGGTTTTCGTCACCTTGAATAAAAGTAATGCCAGAATGGCGTCGCAGCCCGAGTAGCCACCAAAGAACAATGGGGCGCAGACGCCACCGTAGTGCGGAACGAGTCCTGAAGCGGATTTTTTGATGTGAAAAATATGCTACTTGTAGTCCCTCCAACAAGTACGATAAAGACGGGCACGAATTCGAAGATGAATGGGGAGACTGCCTGAAATCTGGGATTCTCTCTCTCTCTCTCTCTCTCTCTCTCTCTCTCTCTCCTTCCCTCGCTCACCTGTGCCAGCAGAAGGAGCAACAATTGAACCTGGTATTTTTGCACCGTTCTACTGATTGTACGGCGCTTCACGTAGAAGTATCTAAAGCGGAATTAGTTGACCCTTTACGTGTTCACCGTACAGTTTCATCCCTGTGATGCACGTCGTCCAGTACAATCCGGAAATTACACTCAAAGCTGCAACTGTCCCGACGATCATGATCCAGTTGTACTTCTCGATACCGTCGGGACCGGGATTCTAAAAGGCTATTGATAGGGTTAATGAGAGAGTGCGAGAGTGATGGGGGCAACGAGGGTTGGAGAGAGTGAAGAAAGGGATAAGGGAATACATGGCAGATGTATAAAAATATGTATATATACGTACCGAGAATACAGCCCCATAGTAGTAAACGTCCGAGGTTAGGGTGATATTGAAAAATTCCTTCGTATCCTTGTATGAAAGCTGCCTTCGCACTTCGGTGGGCTAAATAAGAAATTAGTTGAATTTAATGCGCTGCTTCTTTATCTCCAGAAATATTTAGAGATAATACTTGTTGCTCACCTGCATCGCAATGAGACAAGTCGATTCCATCGACCAGGATATAAAAAAGTGCCAGATGACCAGAGCAAAATTCCCGCATTTCGTCTCGACCATCGCGCGATATTTGCTAGGATTTAAGATCACCTGTAGGATATTGTTAAAGTACCCAGTGATCTTGACGTATCGATAGAAGCAGTGGATCATCAATAAAGATAGCGATTGCCCAAATCCATTAACATATAGCGCCAGGGCTATTCTCGTCACGACGCGGCTTGTTGTGAAAGTTTGGGAGAGCATGAGAAAGCCACGTTCGTCCATCAGATAGCCCTTAAGGGTATAAATAATGGTGTTTAAATTATGAGAAAAAATATTCTACTGCCTACAACATCAGAGTACATTTTAATACTGTATAGCTATAGGTCGGCTGAGATCAGGGATCTTTCTTATTATTTTTAGCTTTTTGAACTTATCCAAATCTGTTTGCATTACTCTATTATTCCTTACTGGATTCACAACTTTTATAATCGTTGAGAAATAAATGTTATAAATGGATATAATCGTAAGCATGGGTCGACTCCCCCTTGCCTCAGCCCGGGGTACGGTATAGATGACAAAGAGCAGTAGCAGGTTCGACCCGATCCCAATTACGCAGACCCACGTGCTCGGGTACTTTTCGAATTCGCTGGTGCAGAACATAATTCGCGGTATCTGTAAAGGATTCGGGTTTATGAATTTGCTTATTGTGTCTGGAAAAGGGGACAATTCTGGCGAGACCAAGAAACATCGGCGAATTCCCCCGCTCGCATTAAAGGCAATCTCATCAAAAAATTTGGAGTGGTGGTTAGTTCCATGAATCTTCAATGCAAAATCTGGAGGTTTTAAAGGTTGCCCCATGGCCTTCGATGCTTGCAAATCAAGACATTTTCTTAGGCTTCTAGGAAGACGTTTTTAGTGTCGTCGGGATTTCAAATTCGTCCCCAGGCCCCTCTTTCTCGGATTTTTCCGTATCCCTAATCTGTTTTTCAAATTTGCGGAATCGCGATTTTCCGAAGGGATAAGCAATATCAGGACAAGAAATGCTCAAAACTGTTGTTTATAAAAATAAAAATAAAGATGATAAATATAAAAATAAAAACCTCGAAAATGTAAATTTCCTAACGTTGAAAAGCACAGTTCTGCAAACTTTTTAAACGTATTTGGAAGTAGCGCAATATTCTGCACAAGCTAAGATAGCTCCCAACTTGAATGACGACGACACTAAAACGTCTTCTTGTTTGTATCAGCGCAGGATTAGGCTTGGATGTAGGCGAAGCTCGAAACTAAGAGTGGCTTAGGATTTAGTTAGGTTTCAGCTCAAGCCTCGACCTAAAGCGCTTAAAAACAGAAAAAAGGATGTGGATATAGAATTTTTTAAGACCGTCTCTCGAAAAAGTTCAAAACATGTGGGCAAATTCCCAAGCTTTCCATCGGTTCTCATGCTTATTGGCGGATGGAGGGCCGAACCCTACTTCTTAATCTTTAGGCAGCCATCCGCTTGTTTTGTTCGAGAACCACGTGTTTTACAGGGAAAGTGCTGATTTAAAAGAAAAGAATCGAAATTTTTCCGTAAAAGTAGCTTAGTTCTGTTTTGTGATACGAATGCGATTGCAGTATGTGAAAGGCTTTTTCGAAGGCTGCGAGTTGATAGGGCCAGGCCCGTACGAGGGGGCACCGGGGGCACGGTGCCCCCGAAATCGGTCGAGGTCCGAAAAGTTCATAAGAGGGGACCCTTATGTTTTTTTCGCAACAATTTTTCTGCCTGCGGCGCTGTTTATCACTGTTCCGAAACGATTTTTACTCCTAGAAAACCTATTTTCCTAAAATTTTTTTTGCCTGCGGCGCTCGTTTTCATTAGTGCACCATTTTTGCTGAACAAAATTTGGCCTGCGGCGCTGTTATTGTGCTATTTTTGAAAGTTTTTTGAAAAAAAGTTTTTTGAGAAAAAAGAAACGCCAAAAATTTTTTGGGTGGGTGCCCCCCCCCCCGAAATCTCGGCTCCCGTACGGGCCTGGATAGGGCTAAAGAAGTCTGTTTTATACCCTGAATCACAGCTGACAAGCGTCGAAAGGGATCCTTTAATTGAATCGTAGGATTTCGGGTTATATCGGGCTTATTAGTGCATGTCGTCTGTTGATCCCTAGGGGAATTCTTTCGTTACGAATTGGCCCTTCTTCTAATTCCAACGCAAAATATTTATGAAAATGCAATTGGGAAAAAAAGATCGTGACAATTTTTAATAGGATTCGCCCCATACTTAGAATCAGAAATTGCTGTCGAGTGGTCGCTGCCACCTTGGAAGGTTTTAATTCGATTCCCGGTCATGCACGATCTTGAAATTCGCAAAACGCAGGCGGCTACCCCCAGGTTAGCGACTATGGAAAAGAAGATGGTGTTGTCAGAATTTTCCACCAAACCCTGTAGAGCGAGATACCGTACTTCCGGAAAAAGATAATTTGCATGCGGGGAATTAGAATGCGGCCGGCGGTTTATTAGAAGCTTTCAAGTATCTACCATCACCAGTGAGTTAGCTGTTTGCTAACGGACTCGCTTTTTGAAATGCCAACGAGCGTTCGGATCGACTCGTAATTTGTTGTTTTTGCTTTTTGTGCGCAATTTGCAAGCGATAAATATTTGGTAAATATTAAATCTCGTTCCACCGATATTTAAGATTTTTTGAAAAACCGGTAATTTTTCAACGAGAATTTCACAATTAGCATGCAGATCTGGCATAAATCTGCAGTTGTTATGGTTTTTGGACATAAAATTATCCACTAAAAATGCATAATAACGACAATGAGCCCTCATTGTTTTCTCGTCTTTTCGCGTGCTTTCTATAGATATCGTGAAAATCGGAATCGGCTGCGGACTGCTAGTTAGGGGGCGTTGGGAGACCCTATATATTTATTGTTATTGGATTCATGTACTGTGGAAAAATGTACTCACATGTGGAGGTTGTCAGGTCACAGAGTCCAAATCGGCTCAAAATTGGCGGAAAAATAAAATAAAATACGGGGAACACGAAGCGATAAAAATTATCTGCCAATGGGCACTTTTGTTCAATAAACTTTTCATTTTATGCAAAAAAGTGCTGCTGCAATGCACCTTTAGCCGCTTTATCGCATCGTGTTCCCCAGATTTTATTTGATTTTTCCACGAATTTTGGGCCGATTTGGATAACCTCACAACCTCTACATGTATGGTAGATGGTCAGTATTTCTCATCTCAAGCAGAAGTTCCAGCGCTCTTTTGGTTCGCTGAGATGGGCGTCGGTTCATCGGTTCCGGTGTGAAAGATCTGGCTGCGATTCTTGGAAAACCATTTAAACTTGAAGATTTCGATTGTGCGACGTCGATATGCCTAAAAATTATTTGCGTATAGAGGAAACCTCCACCGCACCTTGAAGAGAAACAAAGCCAAAATTGCGTCACATCCGGAATATCCGCCAAAGAATAGCGGGATGAAAATGCCCCACTGATGCGGGATTAAACCTGAATCTAGCAGCGTGAATTAAAAATGATAAACATAAGGTATGGAAGTTAGAAATATAATACTCAATTTGGTGTTTTTTAAGCAGCCAGCAATTGCTTTTGGTTAGAAAAACATGTGGATAAAAGATACCTGTGGTTCCGCCGACTAGCGCTACAAATGCAGGTACGAACTCAAAGATAAACGGAGATATTGCCTTAATCGCAATAATGGTTGCTTTAGGAGTTAAGTCGAGATTAAATAAGGCCTTAAATACAATACCTGAGCCAGCAAGAGCATCAACAGCTGCACTTGATATCGTTGAGCCGTACGACTTTTTGTGTTTTTCTTTACGTAGTAATATCTGTAACATATTGATAGTTATTTGATTTTTAGGAAAGGTTTCACTGGCAATGAATCCTAGCTTACAATTTAATCCCGGTCAAGCAAGTTGTTCCATATAACAGACAAAAGAAGCACAACGCGATCACGGTCCCAAATACCATAACCCAGTTGTAATGCTCGATATGATCGGGGCCAGGGTACTAAGGTGTCATTAAGTAAAATTAATTAAATTCCCCCGAACTGGCCATGAAATTGACATACCGAAAATACAGGCCCGTAGTAATAAATATCGGGAGACAGCGATATGTTCAGGAATTTTAAAGTTTCTTCATACGAAAGTTGTCGGCGAGTTTCGCTTGGCTTCAAGATAATTAAATACTAGTAGATAAATTTTAGTATGAGTGAGCCAAATCCCATAATTACTCATGACATACCTGCATCGAAATTAGACAAGTCGACTCGATGGCCCAAGATATAAAAAAGTGCCAAGTGACCAGAGCGAGTATACCCTTCCTCTTCTCGATAATAACACGGTATCGTCTGATTTTAAAGGTATTTGATTCAGTTCAAACGTTTACCCAGTAATCTTGACGTATCGATAGAAGCAATGGATCATCAATAAAGATAAGGACTGGCCAAAGGCGTTCACAAAAAGTGCTAGGCCAACCTTGGAGGCGGCGGATGTTTTTGGGAAGGTTTTTGAAAGAGCTATGAAGCCTCGTTCATCAAGGATGTAGGTCTGAAGTGGTTTTTCGTTTTATAAGCACTATTACTACAGGGTAAATATATTTTCCCTCCAAAACTCCATCATCAATTGCCTACCGGGTGAACAATTTTCACGACAAGCGCATAGTAAATGTTGAAAATTGATATAATCGTCAGAATCGTTCGACTTCCTCGTGCCTCATTTCGGCTTACGGTATAGATTACAAAGAGTAAGAAGATATTTGACCCGGCGCCAATACCGAACACCCAATGGCTCGCGTAGTCTTGGAACTCGCTCGTGCTCAGCATCTGCCAATGTTAAACAGTGAAATTTAGATGCTAGCAATTGTTCGACGGTGAAAAGATGATGAAAAATGTTAGATTTTCAAACTGAACGAAAGCTTATGACAGATCACAATTTTGCAAATTGGCTCCAAAGATCTGTGAAGACAAAATTTTGACTTATGGATCTT